TTAAAAAAGTTAACTTCTGAGGCTTAAAACACAAAATATATAAGAGCTTAGAAAACCTAACCGCCACAATGGACCAATGATGTCACCAACCATGCGGCAATGAACTCGTGACGTCGAGGCTTAAAACACAAAATATATAACAGCTTAGAAAACCTAACCGCCACAATGGACCAATGATGTCACCAACCATGCGGCAATGAACTCGTGACGTCATCAACATAATCCCACAAATAGCTTTTTGCGTAGCTTAAGAAACAAAGCATTAACTCATGCAAGTAATGATTAGTTAATGGATTAACTGGAGTTTTCTATTTGTTTTGATAACGCTAGGCGGATTTAATGCAATATTTCTAAAAACACGAAATCAGATTTGTCCAAAAAAAAAAGTAAGATAAGCTTTGAAATTTGTATCAAAACGCAACCAAAGTTGACAAAACTATCAATAATGCTTAATACATTTCTTAAGTATTAATAATAGTAATTGAAATATGAATAATATTGTAAAGTATTGTTAATAATTAGCCAATAAATATCATAACTCGCATATTAATGAGAATTACTAAAACTTTCACTATATATATACGTATTTTTTTAAATATATTTAAGATAAATTTTCTTCTCATACTTTTACACCCAAGGCTTAGTAATAACTACACGTAATATTAAGAAAATATTTGTTTTGCATATATTGGATACATGGTGCACAAAACTCAATCAGGATCGGGATTCAAACAAATATTTATCTCTGCTTCTCTACAACGACCTTGAAGCATTTTAAAACAATTTATCCATGTGAGATGCTCATATTTTCTTAGAGTACAAATCCAGCATTATATATCTCTAAAACATTTAAACATTTTTGGTGTATGCTTATGTGCGTACTGTATTTGACGTGGATTTGTAAGGATTGTTTGCTTCTTTTGGTATTTAGTACAAAGCTACCTGCAATGTGCCCACCATAGGGATCGAGACACGGAATTTAACATTACGTCAATAAAATACCGTGTTGCCCCTAATTAACGCCCCCAAAAGTGTTGCAAACTGTAAAAGGAGGCGCTAATTTTTCATATGTGATTTGTTGATTTCAATAAGTGTGTGTATGTTAGTTTTAAAATAAAAATTACGGTAATAAAAGTGGCTTACATGTTGGATTACTATTGCTGTCAAAATTACAGTAATAAGGTGGATTATAGTAGAGGATTATATGTTCTATTACTATTGCTGTCAAAATTACAGTAATAAAGTGGATTATAATAGAGGATTATATGTTCTATTACTATTGCTGTCAAAATTACAGTAATAAGGTGGATTATAGTAGAGTATTATAAGTTGGATTACTGTTGCTGTCAAAATTACAGTAATAAAGAGGATTATAGTAGAGGATTATATGTTCTATTACTATTGCTGTCAAAATTACAGTAATAAGGTGGATTATAGTAGAGTATTATAAGTTGGATTACTGTTGCTGTCAAAATTACAGTAATAAAGTGGATTATAGTAGAGGATTATATGTTCTATTACTATTGCTGTCAAAATTACAGTAATAAGGTGGATTATAGTAGAGGATTATATGTTGGATTACTATTGCTGTCAAAATTACAGTAATAAAGTGGATTATAGTAGAGGATTATATGTTGTATTACTATTGCTGTCAAAATTACAGTAATAAGGTGGATTATAGTAGAGTATTATAAGTTGGATTACTGTTGCTGTCAAAATGACAGTAATAAAGTGGATTATAGTAGAGGATTATATGTTGTATTACTATTGCTGTCAAAATTACAGTAATTAGGTGGATTATAGGAGAGGATTATATGTTCTATTACTATTGCTGTCAAAATTACAGTAATAAGGTGGATTATAGTAGAGTATTATAAGTTGGATTACTGTTGCTGTCAAAATTACAGTAATAAAGTGGATTATAGTAGAGGATTATATGTTGTATTACTATTGCTGTCAAAATTACAGTACTAAGGTGGATTATAGTAGAGGATTATGTGTTGGATTACTACTGCTGTCAAAATTACAGTAATAAAGTGGATTATAGTAGAGGATTATATGTTGGATTACTATTGCTATCAAAATTACAGTAATAAGGTGGATTATAGTAGAGAATTATATGTTGGATTACTATTGCTGTCAAAATTACAGTAATTAGGTGGATTATAGTAGAGGATTATGTGTTGGATTACTACTGCTGTCAAAATTACAGTAATAAGGTGGATTATAGTAGAGGATTATATGTTCTATTACTATTGCTGTCAAAATTACAGTAATAAGGTGGATTATAGTAGAGTATTATAAGTTGGATTACTATTGCTGTCAAAATTACATTAATAAGGTGGATTATAGTAGAGTATTATATGTTGGATTACTATTGCTGTCAAAATTACATTAATAAAGTGGATTACAGTAGAGTATTATATGTTGGATTACTATTGCTGTCAAAATTACAGTAATAAGGTGGATTATAGTAGAGTATTATAAGTTGGATTACTATTGCAGTCACATAATGTAAGCTTTATAAAAATAAGTGGGTGCGATAATTACAAAGGGGGCTTTAATTAGGGGCAATACGGTATATGGTAAGCCTAATTGGAAACAGATGCATTAATGTTAAAATTAGTATTTCTGCTTATTTTGTAATTCTGTATTAAAATAATAATAATAAGTATTCTGTTTCTATATTTGTTTATTGTTATGCCCGAAGCTGCAGTACGAATTATTTTCAATTTTAGCATCAGAAGTCCTTAAGTTTAATACTGAGCCACTAGGGGCTTTATTCAAATGAATAAATCTACACCAAATATCTGATCTTACGACGAGAAATTCTGAAAGCTTAAACTTCAGGTCGATATAAGCTAACGAAATTCTCAAAAATAATAACAAGGTATTAAAAAAGTCTAGTTAATACATTTTTTGTGACAGGCGTACCTCACCTTAGCAAGTAAATTCTCTTAATGTCCCAAAAGGTAGTGAAGTTAAAAAACTTAGCAATCTATAGGAAAACAGCGTTCTATTGATTTCGAAATATCCTTTCCTGACTTGAAAGATAAGAAAATAAATGAATAATGACGTCATTATCTTGTAGTTTATAGTCTGACAGTAAAATGTAATTTTTCTACATTTACAGTCTTAAACTGCAAATAGATTTTTTGTTCAAAACACAGGTGATTAAAGGTATTACATTATTTCGATATGTGTTCCAAATAGGTAAAATATCATTAAATATTAACGTTTTCTAATATCTTATCATGAAAAAATAATCTTGAATTTCTATTCAACAACGTAATGCTTTCATGACTTTCGCTTTGTTTGGGAATGGTTGATATCTTATCAATCAGCTTAAAAGTAAACTTGGCAGTCGTGCATTCAAAAGAAAAGAAATAATGAGTGTCAGTTTCAAAACAAAACGTGATGATACATAATAAGGAAGAAAAGAAAACAAAGGCGTATTCCTTGCATCTGTCGAGCAGTTCTGTGAAACATAACAGGCATGCATGTTTACTGAAAGTTTGTGATGAGAAGTATGTATTGCTGAAGCATTACAAGAATAAACTATCATGATATTTGTCGTGTCCCTAATTTTGTACTGATAAACTAAAGGGAAGGCAGGTAGTCAAAACAGCTTCTACTGCTAACTGTTGCCCACTCTAGTTGAATAGTGAAATTTGACCGTCACTCTTGTAACGCACCCACGCCCCAAAAATGCGGAGCGTAGTTTTGTGGTAACGGAACCGCGAACCATAGCCCCCTTGTATTCTCACTCCAGCACGCTAACCAATAAGCTATGAGTACTTTTTTTTCTACGTCAGTAAGGATATATTTCTTCTCTCTTATCTTGAACTAGTCACAATGATTAACCAAAATTCCTATAAATAATTTCTCATTACTACGAAAAATATTTTTTTCACATGCTACGCTCAGTAAATGGGATGAATATTTTGCATACTATTTATAAATAATTTTTATTGTCACTTTTATCTAATTGTTAACTATTCTATTTTATTTATAACATTTGAAAGTAATTTTTATTGTCACTTTTATCTAATTGTTAACTATTACATTTTATCTATACTATTTGAAAGTAATTTTTATTGTCACTTTTATCTAATTGTTAAGTATTACATTTCATCTATACTATTTGAAAGTAATTTTTATTGTCACTTTTATCTAATTGTTAACTATTACTATTTTATCTATACTATTTGAAAGTAATTTTTATTGTCACTTTTATCTAATTGTTAACTATTACATTTTATCTATACTATTTATAAGTAATTTTTATTGTCACTTTTATCTAATTGTTAACTATTATAGTTTATCTATACTATTTATAAGTAATTTTTATTGTCACTTTTATCTAATTGTTAACTATTATATTTTATCTATAACATTTGAAAGTAATTTTGTCATTTTTATCTAATTGTTAACTATTCTATTTTATCCATAGCAAATAACACCTTCATATTTTGAGAAGCTAGTGCTAGAAGCGTTTGTAGTTACTTAAGCACCTGCTACAAGCTGTCATTAGAACACAAATGATTAAACATACTAAATATTTGATGCTTATGCCACTATCATCAGTACGATGTTTGGAATGAATGAACTCGGAATAGGTGATAACCACATCTAACGCCTCTTTCAAGTTAGAAACGCGTGGGCATACATGTCATGTGCCACTATTTGAAAGAGGAAATGACGTAGGGTTTCTATATAACATATAAGAACAAAATGCATTATCATCATTGAATATTTCCTGTATCGTTTAACACGTACTGAAATATTAAATATTAATCTAAACGGCAATCTCCGAGAAGATCTAATTATTTTACTAAAATGGGCAGTATATGTGAAAGCAAACGTTTAACTTTTTAACGTCATTGAACGTAATTTTGTGACAAAAGTACTGAAGAAAATATAACCAATCTTACACTTATTTAGGTGCATTTAATTCCAATGATTAAAAATTATGTTGCTATTATTCTTGTATACCTTACCTTCTAGATCGTGGCGCTACAAGACACTCTCTGCTCTGAGTTGATACTCCTCGACCACAAGTCCGAGAGCAGGCTGACCAGTTACTCCAACTGCCCCATACCCCAATTCTAGTTGACCAGGTTGTTCTACTAGAAGCAAGATGTTGATGTCTCTTGTGTATATCGACCTAAAAAGAAAAAAAAATGGAAAAATCAAACTCAAAACTAAGTACAGAAACTATGTTGGTTTTCTAAAGTCACTGTTCGTTGACATTAACTTAACCACCATTAAATTGATACGAATTATTATCATCATATTGGAGCTTCTGAAATATGATATATTTTCCCACAGCCATTGTGTCAAACTGTAAAATATTAGGGTAGCAAGAGAGAGCAAGCAATTTACAAACTACGATAGAACCATGCATTGGAAAAGAATGAATACCATGTTAATTGTGTATTATTATAATTTAGTAAAATATTCTTTTATGAATATATATATATATATATATTAGTGTATGTGTGTGTGTATAGTTATTATTTGTCTTATTTACAGCGAAATACTTACTGGAAATGCAACAACCATTCAAGAATTCTAAAATATATATAATATATATATATCGAATTTGTGATTTGCAGATTCTAATAATTATTACTTGTTTTAGTAAACCAGAATATAAGTTATTATTGTCAGGTCGTTTCATACCTGATTTTGTTTTTCATGATTGAATTAGATGCAATATAAATATAGTTGACTAATGTGTGTATGTGTTGTATATGTGTGTGTGTGGGGAGGGGTGCTTTGTTTCCAACTGCTGTAAAGCATTAGAAATGTATTATGTAAATTTATTTGTATCGAACTTTTTAAGGGTAAAAAATATATATACGCTAGAATATTTTCTTCTTTAGTACAATTCCAGGTTTGAAGTTAAGTCTCCTTCATTTGTCTACACAATTCACAAAGTACGACTGAACTAATGCGTCGCACAGTTACACTTTGAACTTTGACAAGTTTTTCGTATCTTCAGCTGCAAAGAAGTTGTAAAAACAAGAAATCTGGCAAATATCAAAGGTTTGTGGCTCTGTTTTATCTGGAATAGCACTTCAAAATAACATCAAGTGAACTGTGAGGTCAGAAAAATCACTGATTCCGAGTCACTACGGGTTGTCTGGAAAAACTACATTGTCGATTGAGGTTAGTCAGTTTGTCGAGAGGACCAAATCAACTCAACAGAGATAACATTACTTATTTATTGACATGACAGAGAATTTGAGAAAAGGTTATTATATGCTGTGTTATTACGCTGTGTAAGAAAGTTTCGAGTTGATTGTTAAACTTTTGGCAATAATCATAATTGATGTTATTTATAAAGTTCATTGGTGTTACATTAACACTGAAAGCGTCCGAATTATGAGATCTCATGATAAAACTTGCAATCAATATTATTACAGCATTAATCAAAGTATTGTGAGAAAATTACCTTCCTCAGATAAAACAACGTCAAGACATTTTATTAAGCAACTTATTATGAAAACATTAATGATTTTCTTCTCTAAATATGGGAAATTAAATATATTAAATTACGGTGGCTTATAGTGCTTAAACTGGGGTTCGATCCTCACGGTGTACACAGCGTTGACAGCCCATTGTGTAGTTTGGCGCTAAAACAAATAACCAAATTGGTCGTATTTAACTCATTGAATTGTTAAAAGTAGATATGTAAATACATACTACGTCAGGACTTCTCTGAGTTCAGGAAACAAAAGCAAGATGGTTACGTCTACTGAGATAAAATAATGTGAGACAAAGTACTTGTGACGGGCAAAGTTCTTTGGTTTGTTTGTTTTGTTATACTTTTCGTGAAAAAAAAACACACACAAAGGGGCTACTTGTATATATGTGTCTCTAATTTTGAAGTAATAGACTAGTGGGAAAGAAGCTAGTCAGCAGGACCACCATCACCTGTTGGAGTACTCATGTCTGACTGATTAGACTGTCAGTGTTATAGAGCACCTACAACCTCAAAGTGAGGAGCTCTTATGCGAAAACAGGAGGAAAACCATATATCCTCGAACTTACAGCCTGGCCAAGCTAACCACTAGGCTACGCCCAGCAACAAAAACATTTGGAAACAGAGTTAGCGCTAAACAGGAAACAATTATGCACTGTTTGAGATACCTAGTAAAAATAGTTGCATATAAATTTTACAAAATAACTGTTCTAACATTGTATGCTCATCAGTAAATTAGGCCCCTTAATTATTATATGATACAAAGTCTAGTTTCTAAAATCCTTGAATGTTGAAGGAAGTTTCATAAAAACTTTAGAGTGCATTGTAATTCAACACAATTTTGTTAACATATTAATATTTGTTTAAACCTAGCAGTTGTAAAAACAACATTATCACGTGATTTAGGAGAGGCATTTGTATAACAGCTTTTCTCTGCTTGAAAAGAACAGTTATTGTTGACATTCTCACTTTATAGCTTAATTTTAGTTCAGCATTTATGACATAGCCTTGGCCTGTAGTTTTACAACCTAAGTTAACAGCCACTTGTGCGTTTAATTTATTTTTGGTCTTCTGTGTTTGAAGCCTGGTATTGAAATTAATGTAATAATTACAAGTAATGTAATGGTAAGTATAAAATAAAATAAAAGTTTACTCTATAGATTAAAAGTAATCCCAAGAGCCTGAACAAAATGTGTAAAACAAGAAAACAGTAAACAAGTCTAGAGTATGATGAGATATATACAAAATGAGTTTTTTTATGCTGCTGTAACAACAGGAAATGGAAATCGATAAACATTCCGAGGTAAATAAGTATTCAATAAAATCATTATTTCAGTTACCAGTTTTTTATTTTTACTTTATATATATATATATATATATACAGTTTTTTTTTGCTATCATTTATATTGTAACGTTATTACGGCTGTTAAGATATATGTAAATTATTGTTGGATGTTTCCATGATGCATACCACACACACACACAATATTGCAAAGTAAAGTACCAAGACATTATCCTCCTATATACTGAAGAGTCCATCTACACTAAATTTGCATTTGAGTCGAATGGTGCACATTGACCTAACCTATGGTTTATAAAGGTCAAGTTGGAGTCAACGTGTAACGCGGAAAGAAAAGCTCATGGAGCTTCAAAAAGTAGGTTTATGGATGCAGCATCTGTGTTATAAGTGTCCAAGACATTTCAGCCAGCCTAACAAACCCACTGTGAAAAGTTTACAAGATGGATCAATCTTCAGAATATAGCATTTTAGAATGTTTTTAGGATAAAATCACACACTTGGTATTAATATATATCGCTTACGAACTTATTGAGAGTTTAAGTCTAGAGAGCAAAAATATCCATTGTGTGCAGAGAAAGTCATGCTGTTGGATTGTCTAGACGAGCTGCAGCCCATAAGCCATTCCTCATAACACTTGAATGAGATAGTCATGCTGTTGGATTGTCTAGACGAGCTGCAGCCCATAAGCCATTCCTCATAACACTTGAATACAATTTGTTAGCTCTCACGGTATACTGAAAGTCGTAATTAGGGAATTCAATAATAGAGAAATCATCATGTGGAGTGATTAGTCTTGCTACTAATTGTTTACAACAAATGTACTTGTCTGAAAAAATTAATATAATGATGTACGAATGATGAACCTTGTACTAATGTCTTGCTGTGCTGTGACAAGCTGGGCAATTCTGCAGTTCCTGCATTGAAGGAATTTGAAATGAGAAGACCATACCTCTTTCAGTTTGATAAATCAACACAAATACAGCGTGCAATGTCTTGCAGTGGCCTCAGAAATATCCAAAGATCCAAACTTTGCTTTATTCACTCCAAAGGTTTAACCTGGAACCCAATTAAACCTTTCTTGGATCTTATGGAACATCTTCTAAAGGGCAGAGGGTACACGCATGGAAATACTTTCTAAAAACATTGGTGATTTTTTAGTCAAGCCAGTGATTGATGACAAAAGCTAATAACAGAGTCAAGACTGTGAGTCGTGTCAAATAAGATTTAACAAATCATGAAATTCCCTTATCAAAATTTATATTTGGTAAAATAGGGTAATAGAAATTACTCTAAAAAACACACAAGTGATACACATAAAGTATGAGTGATGAAAACTAGATTGTGATTTTTGTAAGGGACAAAATATTACTCATAGTTTTTCATAATTGTCTTTTATACTGTATATGTAGGGATATGACAGACAAAATAAACTAGAGAACAGATGGAACGAACCGTATCTTCGTGACAGATGTGTTTGATTTAAAATTAGGGCCAAATGTAGGTGATTAAACCCACGACATCCCACACCTAATCTACCTTACACCGTCTACAGCTGTTCCTAACGAAGCAGAATAGATGTATAACGTAATTATTATTAAACAGGATAAATTTTGTTTGCTATTACAGTTTAATAGGAGCCAAACTATAGACATTGAAACCTGAAATTTACTCGTTTTAAATCTGTTAACTGAGTATAGTACTTAACTCCCTCCTTCATTAGTATGATGTCAAACATTACTTACAAAAATGGAATTACACTCTTGTGAGTTTACCTGCTTATATCAATTTTGATTTTATTACATTTATATAACTATGTATAATTAAAAGGAAATATATCTTATAATTACATTTCCATTCTGATTTAGATATTAAGTGACAAAATGAAATATGTCAAGAACTTTCACAGGAAATATTTGAATTACTATTTGAGGCTGTTTTTCATTTTATTAAAACAAATCACAAAGGAATGCGTATCACAATAAATAAGTTCATTTTCGTTCGCATAAACATTATAGTTTATGTTTTTTTTACGTAATGTGTTGTGTACAGAGTCTGTATTTAAACACTACTTCGCTCGATTGGATAAAACTTAATGTTCATCAATTTTAAAGAGGTTGTACTTATTATTGCATGAACAGTTACTGCTTATTTAGCTATATTTTATCCACTGTGCAGAACCTGACTCGTAAAGAATTATTTTATTCATTCTTACGCAGCAGTTTTTTGTTTTGTTTGTAATAAAACAAAATGTAACACAACAGCCTTTTTTCAACTGACAGTAATAACATTTTTAGCCGCCAGGTTCTTGCCCAAGCGGCTACTTTAGAGGAGTGTTGTAACTTTCCTCACAATGGATCCTTATTTGGTTGCCTAAGTT